CAAACTGAAAATAGCCTGCCCCCAGCACTGGCCAGGGGACAGATGAAATAAATGCAGCCACGGGCTCCCTGTTTCTGTTTTTTGGGTTTGGAGGTCCCAGAACTCAATGAAACCCCAGGTATGAGCTCTGCTCCAGAGCAGCAGATGCCTTTGCTTTGGAGGGAATTAGGCACTGTGAGCACCAGGGTCACTCAGGGCTAATTCTCCCTTCCCTGGGGACCAAGAGGAGATTATCATTGTGATCAGTGTTGCTGCAGGACCCGAGGAGGAATTAGAAATAACTGCCTTCACACCCAGCCTGCTTGTGCTGTGAGGAGGAGCCAGGTAAAGCAGCACAGGTGGGCAGAGCCAGGACTCAGATTCTGCCCATTTTGACCAGTCAAGGGCTCAAATCCCACTTTATTGAGACCTGCTTTGTGCCAGCACCAAAGTGAGTGCTCAGCATTCTGCCTGCATTAAAGGACTCTGCAGTGCACCAGAGAGAAGCCATTTATCTTGATACTTCTCCTGTTATCAGCTCTACACAAGACCTCCACAATCTCTTCTTAGCCTACATCTGCTAATGCCTCAGAGGCCCCAGGCTTGGATCAGGTAGCTAAGCCCTTCACAACACCAAGGCTCAAAGGGTGCATCTGAGTTATGCCAAACCTTCCCAAACTACATTTTCCAAGAGCCATCTCCCCCTGGAAAGGCAATTTTTTAATCTGTCTTTGTCTTTTTGCAGGGCAGCACCAGCACACCACAGTCAACCTTTGTCCAAATGCCAGGTGAGGTTTTTCCTGCACTGATAAATAACCTTCCATGCAGGCTGGGTAGTTGACACAGCCCTGTCTGTTCTCCTCCAGAGGACATGAATGAGCAAAGGAGCCCTGGAGCGGGGCCACCCCTCAGAGAGAGCCCAGGAGGAAAGTAATTACAAGAGTCAAAACAGGGACAGCAATAATCGGGTATACAATTCCCAAAGAGAGGAGAGAGAGAGAGATAATTAAAGCAGTTCCCACCTCTTTTGGTAGAGGAGCCACCCTTCTTTTCTTTCTGCATCTTCCAGTTTTCTCTGGAGCAGAAGAAAGAAAGCACAAAATCAGGAGCTGTCCTGTTTCATCCCTTGAGCTCTTGGGCAGGGAAAGGGGAGTGAGGCTGGAACCTCCTCCCCAAGGGCCATGGCAGAACAAGGGAGAAGCAGAGGCTGACAAAACTGACCTCAATCTCTCCGTTTAAAAGGAGGCCTCCTATTTAAAGCTTCCCAGAACACAATTTGGTTTGCCACAGATGGAGGTCACCAGCTGGACCAGGCAGGCTGGGGTGCTAAAAGCACTTGGGCTCACACACAGCTGCTTCAAGGCAGGATTGATTCTTGCTCTGGAGATGATGCTGGAGAGAAAAAGGGCTCAGGTTTGCACCCACAGAGGTGTCCATGGCTCTGTCACAAGTGCTGCTGTCACAGCTCCCCTTTGTCCCCCCTGTTCTCTGCCCACCACAGGCTCACCTCCCACCGGTTACTACGGAGTCAGGAGAGCCTTCCCAGCCGAGCTGGATTTCCACAACACCAAGCAGTTTGTCAGTGATGTCTACTCGTCCCCTCTGGGCTCCAAGCCCTTCTCCTGTGATTCCTCTGCCCCTCAGGGCTACCCAGCCCTCCTGGACCCGTATCTCACCGACCAGTACGGGGATTGCCGCGCTCCCCCCCTCGCTCCTGCTGCCAGCTCCTTCTTCAGCCCTGCTGCTGTGCCCCCTCTCCTGCCCTCCTTCCCCAGTGACACGGGACACTTCCTGCTAGTGAGTGAGTCTGTGGTTCTGTCACCCAATAAAAGATCACCCAGTTTAAACCCCGGGGCTGAGTCGGGGGGGCTCATGTGGGAAGGATGTGGCTGATACAGGAGGCAGCACAGCAGAGCCCCCAGCAGATGGGGCAGGGCTGTGGGGGAAGGTTCCTTATCTTTGTTCCCATCTAATTTTCCCTTCCTCCTGTGGGAGACCAACCTTCCCTGCTCCCCAGAGCAACTACTGCGTTAAGCTCCTTAAATCTCTAGAAACATCCTTTGATAGCTCCAGCCTATCCCCTATCCCTGCTGCTTCCCAGGAGCCAGCTCCTGTCACACCCCTTAATACTTCTCAAGTACCATCCGATGGACAGGATGGATGTTTCTGTTCAACACCAAATTTTAACACCAAATGCTGCTCCAGAGCAGCAGAAACCCTTGTGGAACAGGTTCCCCGGGGCAGTGGGCACAGCCCCAAGGCTGCCAGAGCTCCAGGAGGGTTTGGATGATCCTCTGGGGCACAGGGGGTGACTCTTGGGGATGGTCCTGTGCAGGGCTAAGGGTTGGACTCAGTGATCCTTGTGGGTCCCCTTCCAGCTCAGCACGTTCTGTGATTCTGAGTGTTGGGGATAGAAATGCCATTACCTCCAGGACAAGCTTTTGTTCCTAAGGGCCTTTCTTGCCTTTTCTCCCTGCTTCCCTGCAGAGAGAGCCCTGGGAGCAGAGCTCACCCGACAGCCTGGGCGCGTCGGACGCTGCGTGCTCAGAGCCCCTGCAGGCGCTGCCTCCCGGCTCCAGCTGCCTCTCCCCGCCTGAACCCGGAGGTGTCTCCCCATTCCGGGGCTCAGGTTGGACCCCAGCCATCCCTGGAGCTCAGCCCTACCCTCTGCAGCCTCTGGAAGATGCCCACTGCTCCCCCAGCTCACCCTACGCCTTCTCCCCGTTTGCGGCCGAGCCGCCCTCCAGGATGAGCCACCTCTGCCCAGAGCAGCCCTCGGAGACCCCACACCTCCAGGATAGCCCTGCCTGGGCCAAAGAGGATGGAAGTGCCCTCTGGGGGCCTTATGAAGGCCGGAGGACTTACTGATGGGAGAGAAGAGCTGGAGGGAAAAGAAACCAATGGACCATTATTGAAGCAAATTAATGATTTTCCTGCTCTTTCCTAAACCTTCAAACAGAGGGTGCTGACACGTGTGATGCTTTGTGCTCTGTTTAGAAATACAGTCGCTTGGAAATACCAAGTGGTGCCTTCTAGTGCATTATGAAAGTCATTGCTCACAGTCCTGCTGGGCTCCAGGTAAAAATATCTGCACCTCATGGGCCTTTCCTACACACAAGGATCTCGGGCACTTCCCAGGGGGCTTCTCCAGCCTTAAGGATTTAATGGTTCTCAGGGTGCTGGCCTCCCCTGCGGGGCACAAAACACACCCTCCCCTCGAGAAGCCCCAGAGCTGTCCCCTCCGTGGCTCCACCAGACCCCCACGCTCCTGGTGCCCGTGGCAGGAGGGCAGGCTGCTCCCAGCAGCAGGACTGGTTTCCAGTCCCGGGGCCAGTCCGGGCCCCGTGGCCACTAGAGGTAGCTCTGCACACACAAACGCACCGAGGAGCCCCGCGGAACCCTCGCAGATGCAGCAGATCCCCACTTGGTCTGTCCCTGGAGGAGGCCACCCCATCTGCCCCGTCTCGCCCCCAGCCTGGCACCCACAGCAGCAGCACCAAAAGCCTCTCTGAGGGTGAACAGGAGCGTTCCAGCACCTTGGAATACCCAGTGATGAGGTGCCTTAAAGCTCTCCTTGCCTTTTCTCCTCGAATCCTGGGGATAATGGGGCTTCTGGAGCCTTCACAGCACCTTCCAGGGATCATAAATGGCACATAAATGGGACACGGGATTGGGCTCAGAGCATCTCCCCGTGCCATGGTTCTGCCCTCCTTTCTGCTGGTGGGACAGGGAAAGCTCAGCCAAGGGGAAGAGCCCTCAGCCAGGGCTGCTCCACACCCACGGGGCAAGGTGAGCCCAGTTACTCCCAGTTTGGTCTGTGGGCACCACAGGCTCTCATGAGTGGAGGTGTGGAGCATCCCGGGGTGGCCCCTGCTCAGCCAGAGCTGCTCCCCTGACCACGGGACAGGGCAAGCCAAGGGGCCCCAGAGCTTCCCAGGGTGTGTGCAGGTCTCCTTGCCCCACACCCTGCCCTTGTGCCCCCAAACCTGAGTCCTGCAGGAGCCCAGAGCCTTGTTCCACCCCACAGCTGCCCCCACTGCCAGGCTGAGTCACAGTGACCACCTCTTATCCCAGCTGCTCCTTCCTCAAGGAGTTTCCATGGACAGGGACACCAGGTCAGTCTGGCTCTGCTGCATCAGGCTCTGAGGGAGAGAAGCAGGGACAGAAGGTTTTTGAGCTGTCTTGGAAGTGTTTGACCCGCTCTGGCCTTCGGCTCTTAACCAAGGCAGGGTCTCTGTGAGCCTGGAGCTGCTCCCAAACCCAGGACATGCAGGAACACCCCAAACACAGGTGCCTGGTGTTTCCTTGAGGCACAAGCTCTCTGTCAGGGAGAATGACCTCCCTGCTGGGCTCACTCCCCACAGAACTCGAGTGTATTTGTTCAGCTTAAAGGAAAAGCAAAGACTGGGCTGTGACAGCAGCCAAGCTGAGCTGCTGGTAGATCATTAACAGCCTGGCCTGCTCTCTGCCTCAGCCAGAGCTTCCCTGAGCACTGCAGGGACTGTGGTCCCCAGGGAAAAGCTCAAACTCAACCTAAAAACCCCAACTACGTCAGCGCTGTGCAGTTTATCCAAAAAGCCTGTCATCCTACACACACTGAACCCCCCCACCTGCAGCTCACAGGGCAGGCCAGTGCTGAGGCACGTGAAAGAGAGGCCAATCTGTGCAGCAAAAGCAAAGGCTCTGAATTAGGGAAAACCACAAATAAACTCCAAAGTGAGCCCAGCACCCAGGCAGAGGGAGGGAACGCTGTGGCAAGAAGTGGGGTTCAGGTACCTTCAGCTACCTGGGTACCCAGAGCAGCCTCTTTGTCACACCCCTCCCACCCCACTGCCATTTTGGCCCCAAACCCTCAGCATTTAGCCTTAAAATGTGCAAAAATGTGCAAAAAGCAGCTCAGTCCCTCGCAGAGTCCTCTCTGCAGGTAGCAAATGAAATATGAGAGGGCTGGAGCCCAGCCTGTGCATCTGAGGGGAAAACACTTGAGCTGGTTTCGAGGCATCTGCTTCATTCTGGGCAAGATGGGTAAAACCCTGCAAATGTCCCAAAAGCAAAGGGTGGGGAGGGTGGCCCCACCAAATCTTATTCCCCCAGACCCTCTGCTAGATGGGGATGTGCTCGGTTTCACAAAAAGATAGCCCATTTTGTGGAGCCTTTGAATATTCAAATTGAAAGTATCGCGCAATCATTGATTGTCAAATCATTGGTTTCTAGAGGTTTTAAATACTTGGCATTAGGAGAGAAAAACTCAAACTTATACCCGTAGGGATAAAACAATAATATTGTCGGGATCCACCTGCCACTGCCACCGGGCAGGCAGGTCCCTTCACCCCCAGATTTCGAGCCTGTCTCCTCTTGCCCCCTTGGGCAGCTCTGGGGCCGGGGCCGGGGCCACCGCGGCTGCAGCAGCGGGTGCCTGGCAGGGTGCTGCCCGTTCCAGCCCAGGATGTCCGGTAAGCCCCGCTCTGCCCCCCTCTCCTCGCCGTGCCCCGACACCCCGTTTTGGGGCCGTTTCGGGGTTCGCCGGGGTCATTCCGCGCAGCGAGGCGATGCCGCCCTGCCAAGGCGGGAGGGAGCGGGGAGGGCGGGGAGCAGGGAGGGAGGAGGCAGGGGAAGGATCGGCTCCTGCCCGCCCGGCTGCCAGCGGGGCCGGCTCGGGGCACGGCGGGGACAGCGGGCAGAGCCGTCGGGGGGAGCCGCGGCTCGCCCAGCGCCGGCGCTGCCGCCGCGATCCCCGCGGAGGGACGGGAGAGGCGGACCCGCACCCCGGAGTGCCCTCCCCGCACCCCCTGCCCGGGGCACTGGGCTGCTCTTGAACCCCAGCCCCAGCTCCCAGCCTGTCCTTGTCACCCTGCTCCTGATTCCCCACCTGCCCCGACCACCCTGTGCCCACCCTGCCCCTTGACCCCCAGCCCCATCACCCTGTTCTCTGAGTCCCAGCCCCATCACCCTGTTCTCTGACCACCAGCCCCATCACCCTTCTCCCTGACCCTCAGAATCATCACCCTTGACTCCCAGCCCCCCTCACCACCCTGCCCCTTGGCCCCCTGCCCCTTCCATGCCAGCCTGCCCAGTGCCCGTGGTAGCCCTGCTCTGGGTGCTTCACCTGCAGGCAGGTGCCTCAGGCTGCCACAAAAGCAAGATCCTGGGGGTATAATGCTCTGCCACAAGAGCTGCTGTCTCAGAGCCCTCTCTGGCTGCAGGCAGGCCTGGTAACGAGGGTGTTCTCCTGAAATCCAACCCTTCCCTCCCCTCGTCTTCCCCATCTTCTGATAGAAGCAGAACATCAAAAATATGAGATGAATAATCCCCAGCTGAGCACAGCCCAGCAAACTGCCCCCGAGGCAGCCCCAGCTCAGCCTGTCACCTCTCTGGAGGGACCCCTGTGCCTGTCACAGCCTGTCCCCACCCGGGCACCGTGGGGGCACTGGGAGGGCTGGGCAGGACCCTGGGAGAGGTTGTGGCAGAAGGGAAGAGTGCCCACAGGGTGGGACCTCCTGGGGGTGTGAGGGCAGAACCTGCCAATCCAGCCCTGTCCTCTTGCCAGGATCCCCATGCAGCTGGTGGTGACTGCCTGGGACAGCGTGTTGTTCCCCATCCAGAGGTGGCACTGGAAGGCCAACTTAAGCTCTGGCACTCCTGTTCCTTCAGGGCTCTCTGCTGCCTGCTCTGGCTTTTTTTGGGTGTAGAGAATGGCCTGGGCTTGTTGCCCCTTTGCCATGTGATTTGGATTAAAACAACAGCAGAAGGTTAGGACAGAAACAACTGCCCCAGGTTTAAGTATTTCACCATGAGTACAGCAAGTGATTTTTCAGAATAACTAAATTCTTTGCCATTCCCTGTACTGAAAATCCCTCATCAGGTGGTGCCTGGTGATTGCTGATTGTTTTCAGTTGGATTAAAGGCATCCTAAATGCTTGTTTGAAGTCAAGGGGAGTTGTACATGACCAAAATAAAGGGATAATCTAGGCTTTGCAAGAAGTGATTCACGAAAGCAGTCATTTTATTTGTGTTTTGTTTAGCCCTCTGAATAACCACCCACATATTTCCATTGTTTTATTCCTGGTCTTCCTCTGCCAGATGAAGCGCTTCCCACATTTATTTTCAGGTCCTGAGAGAGGCAAATATGTTAGGAATTTAAATAAATTCAACAGCAGCACCAGATGGAGCCTGGTATTAGGGAAGCTGGAGAGAGGGCAGGGGGAAGAAGGAGACAGAGGAGAATAAAACATGTGTGGCTACTAAATATTATCAACTCCAACTTTTCCATAAGTGTCTGCTTGTCACAAACTTGAATAACAGGTCTTCTAAAGGGCTATAAACTGTGATTGCAGGTGGCTAAGCAGTGACCAGTTAATCATGGTAACTCTACACTGAAGTCATGCTGGATTTGCTGTTTGCTCTCCCTTCCTGTAAAGTGTTTTTGCACAAACTCTTTCAGGAAAGCCCAAGGTGTATCAGGGTGTCAGAGTAAAGATCACAGTGAAGGAGTTACTGCAGCAGAGAAGAGCACGACAGGCAGCAACTGGTTCAGCAGTGAGTAAAAATGTTTTGTTGTTTGCTGTGTCTCTTTGTTTATTTATCTTTATTATTATTATTATTTTATTTTTTGCCAAGACTGTAATCTCTGGGCCCAAATGCTTACCTGAGTGTACCAGGCTGCTGAGGATGGGGGGAAAAAACATTCAGGCAGTGATTTAAAGGGGTGAGAATCTGTGCAGGGAGGAAGCAGAGCTGGTGCTCCAGGAGCATCCCTCAGTCTGGGATGGAAGGCTCACCTTCTGGAGGAGGGGATGGAGCTCTGTGTGTACTCACACTCTCTCACTCCCCCTCTTCCAGCCGCTCCAGGGATTTGCATAAAGAGGCTGGTAAATCATTATTTCTTCCTGGTTCGTGACTCTCCAGCCCCGGAAGGCTTTCAGATTTCAGCTCGCTGTGCCTCGTTGCAGCTGAGTGCACAAAAAGCTGCTCAGGCACAGGCACAGGGGGCTGGGGGAGCAGTGCACAGAACTGCCAGGCTTTGGAGAGGCTGGGTCACTCCTCCCCTGCAGCAGCAGCAGCCTCTGCATCACCGGGCTGAGCTGAACCGGTTTTCACTTCCCACCACCAGTTTGCACAACACCTGTGGAGCCCACACAGGAAAAAGTGAGCAGTGGCAGAGCAGGGGGGGTTACCTCGGTGACCTGCACAAGGTGTGTGCAGCCCTGCAGAGGAAAACCCCAGAGGTTTGCCTTGTTGCACATCTGCAGCCCAGAACAGCCACTGCCTCATGAATTAAAGGCACGGGGTGTGCTGGGAAGTTGTTGCCAGGGAAATGAGCTGCTGACTCAAGAGCATGTGGAATAAAGGAAATGAAGTGGAAGCCTGTATGAATTAAAATTTAGAGGAAAAAAACCCCAACCCAAACCAACCCAACAGCAGTATTTGTATTTGCAGAGTGAAATCCTGGTCCCAAACAAGCATCAAAACTCCCGTTGCTTTTGGGGTGGATTTCTTCCTTCCAGCAGGTCAGGTTCCTAGAAATGGGTGATCTGTCCACTCCAGCTTCCAATATTCCTTGAAAAAAAACCGAGGCTGCCCATTTTCACAGAGCACAGTTGGAGTGGGGAGCAGAGCTGGTTCTCAAACCACATCAGCACCAAGCACAGCAATCCACTCTGATGCCCAGCCACGGGGACACCTGCAGTTGCCATTAGTTAATGACTCATTCTCAGTGCTATTCATCCCTAGGAATTCTTTGGGATCCTTCCACTGTGGGATTCAAGGTCCTGGAAATGAACACACATTCCTTTCAAAGGCATTAGTTTTAACACATGTTGGTCTTCAAGGCAAACCTCTGTTGAGTCAGTGATGCAGCAGAAAGATCACACCAGCACAGTGCTGGTTCAAGGGCTTTACACCAGCCTGGGGTTGTGCTTCTCCCACGCTGCTACAGGAAAAAAAATCATGTTATGCACATCAATCTAATGTTCTGTCAGGATTCCCAAGTGGAAATGAGGGAAATAAGGTTTACAGGAATAGGTTACACCGAAATCCAGACTTACCTCGCTCTCCTCTGTGTCCTTCCCTTCCTCTCTCCTTGCCCAGGTTTCTTGGGGCAGCAGCAGCAGCATCCAGTTCCCAGAGTCTGTGTCTCCGCCTCACCCAGGTTGGTACAAAGCCCGTGCACGTGTCCCTTCCCACTCCCTTCCCAGTTTTCCCACAGCCCAGAGCGCTCCCAGCCCTGGCTGAGTCAGGCACTACCTGCAGTGCAGCCAATCAGCACCTGAAGGGAGCCCATGAGATGCAGATGAGGTGCCCATTCACCCCCTCGGGAGCACACTCATACACTCTTTTCTGTCCAGGTTGCTTTCCCCACAGCAAGCACCAAGATCCCCTTCAGGAAGGGATGCTCATCCCCCAGGGAATGACACTGCTGGCATCACCTCCTCCAGGCTGTGCTCTGTGGGTTGGACTGGACACCGAGGGTCAGTCTGAGGTTGCCCTGGAGCCCTTGGCTGACTCCTGTTCTGTTCTCTCTCTCCTGGCAGCATCCAGAGCAGTGTCAGGTTCTCAACAACACAAAGAGTTTCCTCCTCCTGCGTATGAATATCCAAGGAAAGGGGAAAGGGTTGGGGGAACAGCACTTTGGGCTCACAGATCCTTCAGTTATTCCTCCAGCCAAAGCCCAGAGACCGAAAAGGTCGGGCAGAGACCATAAAGGTTGCTTATGTTAATAAGGAAACGTGAGACAAAAGACCAAAGCTTGTTCAGGCTGGAAAGTCTCCACCAGTTTATGTATTTTGGGTGCTTCCCACTTCCTCCCCACATCCAGCCAAACACTGCCACCTTGGACCTGCATGTGCAGCTCCACTGCCCTCAGACCTGTGCCCTTCACGTGGACAGGGCTTTGCTTTTAACCACGTTTAAACACGGGGTGAAAAGACAACAATGCTGAAAAGCCAGCCCTGCTGTGAGCTTTCCAGGAACTCACACCTCGGCCAGGAACACCGTGTGGAAGCAGTGCCCACGTTATCCCTGACCTGCTGCATTTGGTCTGCTCAGAACTTCGTCCCCTGTCTGGCTGTTTGGAGGATCAAAAGAGCAAATTATTATTCTCCTGTGATCCCCTTCTTCCTGCAGATGCAGCTGCCTCTCAGAGCACTGAAACCTGGCCTGGGGCAAAACCTGCCCTCTGTGACACTGAGTAACCTGCTCCTGTCTGCTCTCCCTTCTCTCCCAGCCCCTTTTGATGCAGAGCCCATCTCTTCTGTTCCCAACTGCTGTCCATCCTGGCAGTTTTCCAACTGCCTCTCCTGTGAGGAAAGCCCCAGCTACTTGGAGCAGCTGATAGATTCCTGTCTGCAGTCGGATGTGCCCTCAGAGCCAGCCTGCAGTGCTTTCCAGCCAGCACACTACACCCCAGACACCTTCCAGCCAGTGCCTCTCTGCTTCAACCAGGGCCTGGTAAGCTTTGTGTCCCAGGGGAGCAGCCACAGGGGGAGGTGGGGAAGGGAGTCACGTCCTGGGGCAGAACAGCAGCCAACCAGTTTGGGAATCTGGCTGCTTTTAGGGGATACAGTGACCCAGGCTGCTTGTGTGGGCTCTAAAGGGTTTCCTAGAGGACAGGGAGACCCAGCCAAGCCAGGACAGGGGATGTTCCCTCTACAGGTCCCTTCGGTTTTCTGCAAAGGATAGCCTAGTTCCTGTCTAACTCACAGGACCTAACCCATGCTAACCATCTCCCTGGGTAGCCAGACTCCCCTGACAAAGGCAACAGCACGAAAATTCTGCCCCAGCATCCCCCAATGACACCTGAAATGTTCTTTATTTTTCCCTCCTGTTTTTTTCTCTCTCTCTCCCTCCCACTCCAGGCTGCCAGCCCTCCCAGCTCAGCTGACCTGTCCAGCCCACTCAACTCCAGCTGCTCCCCTGCCCAGCTGTCTCCTCTCACCCCGCTGACCCCCAGCCCTCCCCCTGCTCTGGACCCCCGGCCCTTCAGCTGCCCCGTGGAGGAGTGGGGCTGCCATGCCCCCTGCCCCTACCCCAGCCCTGCCTGCTGCTGCACAGCCTGTGGCTCCCAGCCCTTGGACAGCAGGGTCCCCCAGTGCTTCCCCTGCCCCAGCACGGACTGCCTGGACTACCTGCCCCCCCTGGGCCTGCCCGAGGACTTCTTCAGGAGGGACAGGAGCTGGGACATCTGCTACAGCTAATTGGGGGGGGCTGTGGTTTTACACCTCCACTCCACCCAAATCAGATTAATTGCCCGTGAACTATGCAAAGTCGTGCTGCCTGACACAGCCCAGGTTGTTCTTCACTACTCACACGTTTTTGTACACGATGCTGTCACTACATTAACCCTCCTGTCCTGTACGGTCACTTTTGTCGCCCTTTGTGGTGGTCTGGTGGTGTTGTTTTTCTTTTTCTCCTGTCTTGTTTTCGTTGATGTTGTTGGGTTTTTTTTAAAGAGGTCCAAAGCTGCCTTACCCAGCTCTTTTTGATACAAATAAATCATTTTGTGCACACGCTGAAGCCTGCTCGTTCCTCACACGCTGCATGTCAGTGCTTTCCTCTCGTGCTGATGGTCCAGGGTGCTGCCCCTGTGCTCTCACAAGGGCTGAGGAGCTGCACAATAACTCAGTGATGTGAAAGGTCTCACCTTACCCTGTCCAGCAGACAAAAGGTCTGTGTGTGATCCAGAGCCCACGCAAAGCTGTGAGGTGGATCTGCATCTCCTCACCTGCTGCTTTCTGCTCAGGCTGCCCCCACGATACTTCCCTGGTGGCTCTGGCAGAAAACTGCTGCTTTCCACCAGAGCCCAGGGCCCCTCAGAGCTGCAAAGAGGTGGAATCCGGTGCCAAACTTTTTTGGCCACTGCTTGCCCGTGAGAAGCAGGAGGCTGATGCAGTTTGGCAGCTCCTTGTGGAGCTGGGGCTGTTGATAACTTTTTTTCCCTCACCTTTCAGCATAATCAGCAGAACAGGAGCTAAATGATTTTTTTAAAGTAGATTATGGGAAAGTTACACCTGAGTGTTTCCTGTTTCTTGCATAAACCCAGACCTTTCTAAGACTCTGTCTCGCCTCCTTTTAATAGCACAGGGTGAGGCAGATTGCCAAGGCACCAATTTCTCAGCTGAGCACCCAGATTGGAAAGAAAGAAGCGTCTTTCCATATTAAATCCAACAAAAACAAAACAAACAAAAACACAAAAAACAAACAAAAACACAAACAAACAAACAAAAAACACAACCACACAAAACAAAACAAAAAATCTAATCACACCTGTGAAGATAAAGCCATAATCTGCCTAGCTGTGTGCTCACCTCCTCCAGACACTTCTGCACTTAACTGAAAAGCTTTCCAGCCCCTTTACCTTATGCAAGGTAGCAGGTTTTTTTCTCCAAAACTTGCTTTAAAATATTTTGATGACTTCAAATACCATCTCCCCTTCTCCCCTGCCCTTACCTGATTAACTTCAGAGCTTGCCAAAGTGATAAATTCATCAGGTCACAGAAAACACTTAAAAATAGCTGTATCTTTGCAGCAGTTCAAGGCCTGAGCCTAACTCTACACAACAGCTCCAGCAAGGAAATCAGGTGTTAGAGGCCAACAAGGTATCTTTCACCTCCCCATCAGCTGCAGCAACTTCAGCTGCTCTGAAATTATCAACCACTCCACTGGGGTAAGGATATTTTCAGCAAAATATTTCTGTGCACCAAGGTCTCCAGGCTCCAGCAGCTTCCACTAATTAATTATCACTGCCCTCCATTCCCTGCAGCCTCTTCCTATTGCTCTGCTGCTCCTTCTCCAGTTGTTTTGCAATCTCCCAGCCTGGCATCTTGTCTGAGATGCTGCTCCCCACCTCCCTGTCAACAGCTCCAGGCCACACGTGCAGTGCAAGTAAAAGCTTGCTGGCTGTTGACACAACATCTTATTGACACAAGGAAGGAAAAAAACACGACAGAGGAACCATTCAGAGGTTGATTGTGCGTTTTCTGGCTATGAGGAACATATTCTTTCCCTCCTTTATCTCCCCCCTCAAAAATAAAAAAGGAGTCAAAGGAAAGTAACTTTGAGAGCTGGCACAGCCCTATTGAAACGCTGGTGTGTCATCAGTCCCTGCCAGGTGAAGCCCTGCCAGCCTTTACAAACAGGTGTTTACACAAAAATGAGGATCATCTCGTGCTTACAAAGGCCATGAATAACTCCACAAGTAACCTGCAGTTACAGAGAAAAGAAAAGGTTCTTATTTTCGGGTCCTTTACCAGTTGCACAGAGTATTTGATCTAAAAGTTTGGCTTGCCAGCCGACTGACAGCTTTTCTATGGTGCCACTCCAGACCATTTGTTTGGTGATAACGAGCCTTTGTTGTTAGCAACTTCTGCAAAGCCACAGGTAGGAAGAGATAAACTGTGCAAAGAAAGGGAAATCACACACTGCCAAGTTGTAGAAGTTACATTCCCCCTGAAACAGCCATAAAAAATTGAGGGGTTAAGTGTGAACTGTTTAAATCAGTGGAACTCACCCCGAGTGCAGAAGACACCTTGGAGGCTTAAAAGGGATTTTCTTGTTACACAGACTGGTTGGAAAGGGAAAGGTGTTTTACCTGCAGCAGCCTCCAACTGTCTGGTGGCTCCAGTCCAAAGCCAACACGAACAGCTTGTTGGTTGTGGCTTCAGAGCAGCCCTCTGATGTCTGAGCTTTGGGAATTTAGGCACAGATGCACCTGGAGAGAGAAGGAATCCCTCCTGTGCCTGTCACGGGCTCTTCCCCCTGCAAACCTCACCTGCCAACTCTGAGCAACACCAGGGGGATGCTCTGAATGAAGCCACGTCCCTCCCCAGGAGGACACTTTCCCTGACCTTCTGGAGGTGGTGATGATTCCAGGCAACCCCATTGCAGTTCCAAACAGTAACAACAATCACATAGGACTTCAGCCACCCCACAGACATTTCTAGATGGCAAAAAGCTTTTTCCATGTTCCCTGGTGCATCACATGCCACGTGCTGCTCGTGGTCTGGCAGCTTTGTTGCTGGCAAGCTCAAGAAATGGGTATTTTATTGATCATTTTGTCTTGACACACGGTACTAACTCACTGATACAGTTATCCCTCAATCCAGGGCTTGTTATAACATCCTTCAAAGTAAAAAAGCACATGCTTTTGCTGGCCTATGCCCAAGTATATGCAAATTTATGCAAACACATGCAAATACATGGCTGGATTTTTTTCCCCCTGTGTCAGGGGATGTTGGCAGGTTTGGAGATGTGATGTAGTGGGAAGCAATAGCAAAACAGCAGAGAGGAGGGCTGGAAAATCCAGATCTCTGCATTTCTTAAGAGCTTTTGTTCAAGTCTGCTAAAGAGTTATTCAAACACTCCAGGCCTGGGGGACTGACAAGTGCTGCAGAAACTCCCACGCCGCTGAGTCAGGCAGGGGGGGATGAAGGAAGTGCTGCAGTGATTGAAGGGATCTGCCCTTCACTTCACTCTCCTGTCCTGATAGAGAAAACAACTTGGGCAACGTTGAGAAATCAGCAGACCTGAGTTCAGGGGGAGCACTGGGGACGAGACATCCTCTGCCAAAGGGGTGTCAAAGCACGGCTTTGCCTCCCTTCAGGCACCTGCCCCCAGTCTGTGGGCCCAGCAGAGCCACTTCTGCCAGTGATTGCATGGCAATTCACAAACCATTTCACAGAAACACTAAGAAGAACCTATGGAAACTCCCTCTCAGCTGAGAATGGGAGAGAAAAACACTGTCTTCCCACCCTGGTTTAAGCCTGCAGGAGCAGGGACCTGTTGGTGAACCATCCTCACAGTCTGTAGGAGAGGCTTTATGCCATCAGCAGGCTGAAGGTTGAAGCCATTCCACAAATTTCGGGCAGCCTAGGATCTGGCATTTCGGCGGCAGGGAAGGAAGGCAGATGCAACTTTCCCTTTCTTCAGCAAATGCCTGACCTGCCAAAACACGGAGAAGCTCATGAAGTACCACCTCACACACTTATATACACGGGCATGTGCAACTAAACACACATCTAAACACACCCAGGGGCCACAGGGAGCTCCAGGAACCTTTTCATACCTGCAGGCACAAAACCCAGCCCTCCCTCCCCCCACCTTGAGTGTGCAGGGGATCAGCAACCACACACCTGGTCCCCAGCTCTCCCAGGGGGAGCCATGTGGATGGGCTGGTCGTTGTCCAGGTTTCGGATGCTGGGGTCTGCCCCGTGGGCCAGGAGCAGCTGGACCATCTCCTTCTGGTTCTTGTCCCCGGGCAGTGCAGCTGCCATGTGCAGGGCTGTGTTGCCATGGGCCTGGTGGATTGGGGTGGGAAAGGAAAAGAGGTTTAAAAAAAAAGCCTGGACAAACCTCCTGCTGAGCTGGGCCACCTCCCTCGGGGTTGTCCTTGAAACGGAGATTTGTGGAAGGGGAGCTGGAGAAGCCCCCTGTGATCAGTTGTCATCAGGTGAGGGAGCATCTCTGCTCTGTTTCTCCCATGTAGGAGATTTGGGGGTTTAGATTTTTCTCTCTTCTAGAGCATTACAAACTGTGGGGCTTTAATGCTTGGGGTATAACTAACTAACTAACTAAATAAATAACCCTGTCCCAACAACATTCCTGATAGCCCTGCAAGCCCCTGCTAAATCACACCTCCATGTGAACAGAGACCTGAGGAGCTACTTGAGGAAGAGAAGGGTGCAACATGCATGTTTAGCCATGGAAATATTTCCCTGGGAAGCATTAAGTTGGATTTGGAGGCTGCTACACACCACACATGGGCTTGACAACAGCAGAGCCAGCTGTGCTCCACACATCCCCACTGCTCCCTTTTCCCAGCACTTGCAAGGGCCAGAAAGCTGCAGAATCCTGAGGTCAAGCACATCCTTGAGCATGGATGGAGTCCAGCTTTCCCAGTGAGAGGATTTGCACGGGAAGGACAGAGCTGGCTGTGAAGCCAGGCAGGGGGCCAGGATGGATGGAAAGTGCTGCAATTTGGTGCAGGGAAGCTCTGGTGTCACCAGACCGTGTAGAAATCTGGGCCCTGTCTAGCCAGCTATGACTGGTAACGGTTTAAAATGAGAAAAACCTAATAAACAAATGCATAAGGGGAGGTATTTTTAGTCTGCAAGAGTCTCATTTGGGCAGCTGCTTGTTTTTCTCTCAGAAAGGACCACACATTTGTCGTGATTTTGGAATGGCTGGGCAGAAGTTGCCA